GGGAAAAGGCACCTGTGGGTGCCCTGCCCTGACCCAGCATGAAGACACTGCCAAAACAAAGTCAGGAGGGGGATTGTCCCACTAGTTGGACAATTTAGCAAACACAGCCAAAGGTCCAGCCAAAGACCCAGGCCTACCAAGTCAAGGACTGAGAACACAGGGGCTGGGTAGAGGATGTGGAAAATATAGGAGACATCTGTTTGGCCCTTCTTGAATAAGATGTCACCTGATACAACAGGGTGAGCATCAGGGAGGGGTAAAAGTTGGGATCCTTCAGATCTTGTGTGGGGTCTGATTAGATAAATACACCTCTGTCCTGGAGGGAAATCAAGGACCCACCTTCCTCCAAAGGCTATGATGGGAGTTTCCTGGACCCCAAGATCCTGTCGCAGGGCATGGAGCAACACAGCAAAGTCCGCCAGCGCCTGCTCCACGGTCAGCAGCTGCGTATATCCACGCTGTGTGGACTGCATACCAAATGGAAGCGACTTTCCATAGTACCGCTGCGGGAAGCAGGAAGGGCTGTCTAACCACTGCCTCTGCGCTGCTCCCCACCTCCTTCAGCTCAGGGACTGCCAGCAACTGTCCAAGTACCCACATGCTCAGCAAAGACAAGCAGGGCCTCCTGCTGGGCCGCCAGCTCCACCATGAATCCAGAGTTGTTAGCGAAGGACCAGATGTCCTGCTCATTCCCCGTGTAGAAGAAAATGGGCCCCTCGCCCACCGTCCAGAACTTATCTATGGGAAGTAAGTGAATGTCTGTGAGGGCAGGGATAAGCAGAAAATGTACTGTGGGGACAACACTAACCTGACACCAGGAACCGCTGGCCAAAGGTTTTGTTGCCGAAACTCTCGAAGTTGAAGTGGTCCATGTATTGTTCAAAATATTTCTCCTGAAAGTCTGGGTCTAGAACTCTGTCAGCTGAGAGCAGATGCAGAGGCTCAGGAGCTGTCAGGGGTCATCAGGGGTCCAGAAGGGTCACGAGGGAGGGCAGCCAGTCCACACTCACCACTAGCCTGAAGATTGCACAGCCCCAGTCCCAGCAGCAGGACCAGGACCCAGGAAGGGACCCCATGGTCCACAGGGACACAAGGCTGGAAGCTCATGCCTGATTCTGAGATGGGCGCCGGCAGTCATGTGACCCAGGTCACATGCCAGACACGTCAGGCAGGACAATGTCACGTGACAGCTTCACAGGGCTGTCCTCATGTAGCTGGATTCTAGCTGGAGGACTACATTTACTCCCTCTTGCATCAGCTTTTTGGTCTTTTGATCCAAATCTTAAGGGTTCCCTAGGCTCCTTCTGTGTTCTCACAGAGATGATCACTGGAGACCCAGGAAGCAAACAGAGGCTAGGGTGTGTCAGGACTATGTGGTCTCCCAAGTGTCCAGCTGCTGAATACCACAGAATGACGGGAGGGGCCTCCCACACAAGGACACTGCAGGCTGTTGGAGTCCCCAGGGGCAGACCCACCCACGTCTCCCACTGGTTGTTGGAGCTAACTCCTCATTCAACCTGTCAGCTAATCTGTGTCCTGTGCACTGAAAACTGAGCTGGAGCATCACCAACATGGATTCAGTCAGAACAGCCACCCTGTGCCCAGCCCTCAGTTCACTGGCAGGACCATAATCCTAGGGCCAGGGAAACTGGGACAGTTCTGTCTGCCCTGAGCGAGTGGCCTCAGGAAGGTAGGGATGTTGAGGGTTGCTGTGGAGGGACAGTGTCTCTGAGAAAGGACACTGGGCTTATCTGAGCTGCATCAGGAATCTCTGAGCTTTCAGTGTGGCTGCTCGGTTTTCCTGACTTTTGGCATTGTGCCCATGCCTTGACAGAATGGGGGAGATGGAGGGAGAGGGCTTCTGTTGAAAACTGCCATCCTCCTAGTGGCAGAGTGTGCAGGGAAAGAACCTGTTTTCTCTCTGAAACCCAGTCCCAGGTCTGGAAGAAGGGAGAGATCCACGGGAATTGGGGCTTGGGACTGACAGCCATGAGTGGAACATGTCCATCTAACTTGGTTGGCCATAGTCCAGTGGGATACACAGTCTAGAGTTGTGGAATGCTGTGCCACAGATTAGGGAAGCCCTCATCCTGTATAGATGCCTATCTCTGTTACTGTGTATTTTTGAGGGTGTTGGTGTTGCATTGCCCAGTAAGTCGTACCTGCAGAATGACATTAACTATATGTGGCTTGTGTGTCTGTATTTAAACATTTTCAGTGAAGTTTTCCATTGTTTACCTTGCATCTCCCCTTGAATTTTATGACATGTTACTTCTTGGTTCCTGCCTGCCCTCTGTTTATACAGCCCACTTCCATATGCCCTTTGAATACAGGGACAGCATCTCCTGTGGCATAACACATGGGTCTTTCTTTATCTCTTCCTTTTTTTGGAGACAGGATTTTCCAGAGTGGCCCTGGCTGTCCTGGAACTCACTCTGTAGATCAGGTTCATCTTGAACTCAGAGATGTACCTGTCTCTGCCTCCCTGAGGGCTGAGATTAATTCTATGCGCCACCACCATCCTGCTAGGTACTTCTTTTGTTAACCAATTTCCCTGGAGTTGAGATCTTCCACTGTGTATGCTATGTACCTTCCTGATTCTCATCCTTTCAGCCCTTGATCTGCACATATCAGAGGCACACAGTCTTCCTTCCCACACCAAAATCAGGAGTCACCTGAATCTGTGTATCCCACAACTTTGAGCAGACCTCCCTTAGGCATGCAGCTTTGGTCTGTTCACGAGCACGTAGTGTACCACCAAATGGCTTACTTGGAGGGGGAAGGATCTTGTTCACTAGAGTCTTTTTTTTTCCCCCTTTTCCTTAAAGACAGGGTTCCTGTGTTTCCCTGGCTGTCCTGGGACTTGCTCTGTAGACCACACTGATCTCTCAAATTCAGAGATCTTCACCATTAGACCTGGCTTACTAGATTTCTAATGGAATCTGATCACAGCAGTGATCAAGTACAAGCTCAGCTAGTAATGGAGAACAGCATGTTATGTCTCTCCATAGTTCACAAGCTACCTTCACTTTCCTGGATGTATTTTGCTGGGTATTCTTGATTTCTGCTTGGTAATCATGAACACTGGTGAGCACAGGTTCCTTTATCATTAAAAGCAGCAACTCTCAGATCACATACTTTTTTGTTGCTTTTTGAGACAGGGTTTCACTGTAGCTTTGGAGCCTGGACTCACAGAGATCTGACAGTCTCTGCCTCCCCAGTGCTGGACCTAAGGGCAAGCACCACCATCATCCAGCAAGATCACATCCTTTGTGTGATACAATGATGTAGGTCGTAGAACCATTAAGACTAAAGAGACTGAAGGGTTCAGGACTGAAAGCAAGAGCAGGGAGTAGATACAGAGACCAGGCTACAACAGGCAGGGAGAAGCAAAGTTGATGATTTTCTGGACTTGCTTCCTGACAAGTGATTAAGTTTGATGGGGAGTAGAGATGGAGATACACCAACCCCTATTGTATAAAATGGGGTGAATCCATATAAGCCTCAGTATGAAGACTCATCTTCTATACAGGGATATGCAGAACAGGCCCAGCCTACTTCCTCCTAAGATGACTAGACCAGAGCCCTGTGCACGAAAGTACACTGCTAAGCCCTCCCTGCTGGCTCATTCGTAAGGAATAGAACAGGGAGTTTTGCGCAGCCCATGGACATGGGAGCTGTGTTGTAGGAAAAGCTACTTAGGTATGCTGCATGTGTGGTTCCAAGTAAATGCTCAAACCTGCAAAGCAGCACCTATGCAGCATGAGGGACTCCCTGTCTTGTGTTCGCTCCAGGCCCAACCACACAGCTTTTGTTTTTGAGGCAGGGTCTCAATATGCAGCCTTGGCTGGCCTGCGACTTGCTATGTAGACCAGGCTGGCCTTGATCTCAAGAGAGCTGCCTGCCTCTGCCTTCCTAGCACTGGGATTAAAGTCATGTGCCATCACACCTGGTTCCAGCTGCACATTTACCATGTGCATTCTGGCTATGCATTTCTGGGTACCTGAAGGGCTTTCCATATGGCAAGCCTGCTTGGCCTTTGGTTCTGTGAATTTGAAAACCCTCCTGGTCTCAGGTCTCCTACCCTTCTTGGGTCATATTTAGTGTCCTGCTAGTTATCTTCCCACACATACTTGTGGACAGTCCCAAATACCCTCAAGTGATACTTCCTTTGTCACTGTACAAAATATTAGCTTATCAAAAGGTTAGTGTGTGTGGGAGCGACCACCCGCACCACTACAATGGTCTTCCCTGAAGTGTCCCATGTCTTGATTTTTCCAAATCCCTGGTGAAGGGCTGGAGAGAAGCATGTAGGGTTTCTTGGGCAGCCTCCTGTTCCCAAAGCTCTGTCCCTTGGATATACCTATCCCATGTCTGTATGCCACGAAAAAACGGCACCTGAGGCTGGAGCTGTTGGTTGGTAGAGTGCTTGCCTACTGTGTACACAAAGCCCTGAATTCAATTCCCACCACCCCATACACGAAGCACCTTATCAGGAGCTACAGATGTCCAAGGTCATCCTTGCCTATGGAACTAGTTCAAGGCCAGCCTGGGATACAGGAGACCCTCCCTCCAAAAGACAAACCAACCCTGTAGCTGGGATTTGCTGCAAATGTCCTATCTGTGAAAATAATGTCCACTCTTTGAAAAGTTTGTCTTTTCAGGGCAATCCAGGACTAGGAATGGTAGGATTTGACTATCGAGAGCTCCATGGCAAGGGAACAATTACTCATCTTGATTGACTAAGGGGTACATAGCCACATGAAAACTCTATAAACATTGTATCCCTATCACCCCTCTTTCTTTCTTTTCTTTTCTTTTCTTTTTTTTTTTTTGAGATCTGCCTGCTTCTGGGAGTGCTAGGACTAAAGGCGTGCACCACCACTGCCTGGCTTGATACTGTCTTATAATCATGGAAAATAAAATCACCAGGGAAACTGGTGGAGGACATGGAGACATCTTTGATTTTTCTTTTTCTTTTTTTAAACTCCTTTCAAGAATTCACTCAACTGATTGTTTATTCAGGAAGAACCTGAGGCTTTGATCTCTCTCAGGGACCTTCTCCTGCTCCAGGGACCCCAGCTTGCCTGTGGAGCAGTAAGAGAAGGGTGCCAAAATATAGTTTGTTTCTGAAGCTTACAGCAAGATGACCACAGAGCTCAGCAAAAGTCCAGTTTGCCTTCTACATGTTTCAAAGATGGCAGCCATGGGCTTGATCCTGCCATCTTCCTCAAGTCCACATCCACAGCCTCCACACTGTAAGGTGAGTATACTCTTCCCAGAAACCCACTCTGGGAGTGTGGACAGGAATGAGCAGGAGCCCACACATCTGGGGCTAGGTGGCTGAGGAGCAGGCTGCCTCTCTTAATCACTATTACATTACGGGAAGGGTTGGTGTCACCGGCACAGGAAACCAGCTGTGATTCAGAGACAAGGCTGGGTGGCAGAGCCAAGCACCACTTAATCAGAAGCTACATCTCCACGTAAGTTCTAAGCTCCAGGAAAAGACCAAACCAGGATGAGATATGCTGACTCGGTCAAAACCAGTAGTCATTGCAAAAGGCAACAGTGTGGGCTCTGGTTCTTGGGGGAAAATAATCAAGAACACAACAGCCAGGCCCATTTGTGGGTGCTGACTGGGAGACTCGGACTGTGGGAGAGATCTATGGAAGGCAAGGAGAACTGTTTTCACCTCAGGTGTGCAGATCAGGGTCCTCGAAGCCTCGTCTGTTGGTACATCTAGGCACATGGGTGACATGCTCAGCTAGCTACTGTTCTGCTACTGGGGAGGGGGTCCTTTAACTACACCCCCATGAGGCATCTCACGGTCTGCTGAGCACATGGCTGGCCTGTGTGCTGGCAGGATGAATCTTAGAGGGCATGTCCTGTGTTCTCAGACAACACCTCCTCACACTCTACCTCTAGCCCCATTTTCCAAGGTCCCCAACCCTCTACCTCTCAGCTAAGCCCAGAGCCAGCAATGGGGCAAAAACAAAACAAGCAAAAACTATAGAGACAGACATCTACAGTCCACGGGAGACCCAAGAGATCCCAACCTTGTGACGTAAACTAGCACACTCCCTTCTGTGTCTTGCAGGCCAGCATTTCTACTCAGAGCCTGGGCCAGAGCTGTATCAGCACCCGATAGGACCCCAGGGCTAGAGAGACTGGGAGCAAGCAGGTTAGCAGTCCTGTGGCTGCAGCAGCCTGGCTTGGTCCTCATCTAGAATGAATGGAGACTGAAGTTCCCGGCCTTGTAGGTACATCTCCAACCCCTAGAAACAAAGGGTCACAGTGGCTAAGTGTCCACTTTGTCTGCCCATACTCCTTCCAGCCACCCCAAAACAGCACTCCAGTGTAACACCCTCAGGCAGAGTCAGAAGAAGACTACCATCTTTCCCTCAGGAAGACTACGCAAAGTCTTGGTCTCAGCCTTGATTCTTTCCTGTACCCCAACCCCTCCCAAGACTTGCAAAGGCCTCCAGACCCCTCCACTGCATTCACTGGCCAACTGACTCAGGGTTGTGACCCATTCACCCAATGCCCACTTCTCCTGTTTCCAGAGTTCATGAAATCCTGGCCAGGGCTTGCACACTTACCTCTCCAGAGTAAGACACCAAGGGTGATATCTCACAGATGGCTGGAGGGTCTCCATTTGGGAGCAAGCTGCGAAAGAGCAATGTCAGCATTGGCCTCTCAGGTGAATGCCTCCCAGCAGCCTCTGGACATGAAAAGGCAAGTGCCTGTCCAGCATCAATGCCACACCCCAGTCATACCTCCACAGTAAATTCCTCCCTCTGCACAGCCCAAACCCATGTACACCATCTGCCAAGTGACAGGCTCTGGCCTAGCTACATAAATCACTACACAGGGCCCCTGTACAGAGCTCAGGCAGCCAGGCCCTGCTGCACCTCCAGCCCAGCAATAGGGGAGGCAAGACACCAAAGGTCCTTTTCCTCTCTTGTCCTAAAGGTCAAGCCTTCCCGTGTCTCTTCAGGATGAGGCTTAGGTCTCATTTCAGAGTTAATGAGAGTACATTTGAGGGCATCTGAGACCCTGACTCCGAGCATAAGTTGAGACTAAGAGGCTGGGATAGTCACCAAGCAGGCTGTCACTGGCTGGGAACATAGAGCCTGCATTTGGTGTGGTGCTGGATTAGAGGCCACCTGGAATAATGGCAGCATCAACAGGCCTCTGGGCTGAGAATACTGCTCCCCAGGCTACTCTTAGAACCTCTCACCCAGACTGCTGAGGAAGCTGGACCCCATGTACGTCCAGGAAGTGGGCTCCGGCCTGCAGAGCCCAGCGGTAGTGCTGAGCCAGCAAGGCTCTCCTGCAAGTAGAAGGGTTGTCCCTGCTGGCTGTGTCAGCATTCTTCAATGGTGAGAATTCCTCCTCCCGAGATACTTCAAAGGCAACGAAGTTCCTGTTGAAGAGAGGGGTTCGTCACCTGCATCCCAGCCAGTTGCTCCGCTCTGGACAGGCAAGGGTAGGCCAGAGCTCCCTAAATGGGAGTCTGTTCCTGTGAGTATGGTGGCCTAGGGGGGCCCCCACAGGCACAGAAAGCACCTGTGATTTCCTGAGATCCTAAGATGCCTCAAGTCCTCCAACTCTCACTAGCATGTTCAGAGATAGAGGGCACTGGGACTCACCCAGCAACTCCAAAACCCAACCTTGGGTCAAGATTGTGGGGACTCAGGGGGTTGTTCGGTGTCCTCTCAGAACCTCTGTTTTTGTTCTGAACTTCCCTGAGACAAACCAACCTATAGACCCTTACCTTCCCCCACCCATGCCCCTCACCAAGCTCCCATTTTCCTACTACTGTCCTAGGGAACCTCTGAGCCCACTACCAGAACAAAGAGAGGGAAGAAGAGAAAAATAAGTGATTTCTACCACTAACTTAGCAAACTGGAACACATCAAACACAAACTTCTCCATCTTTATCCCATTCGGTCTTAGCGGCTTTACCAGATTTCCCTCCTCATCCACGTATGGGACCTTCTTCACAGCCACATGCAGCTTCAACAAGGGCTCAAACTCCCTGGTAGCAAGAGAGCAAAAGGTGTGTGGTTCAGAAAGGGCACCCCTGGAATGCCAGGTGACGTAGCACTGGGACCTAGCTACATCTCTGGGAAGGACACAGGTTTTCTCCCAGAATCCCCAGGGCCAAAAGCCAGGAAGCACCAGCCATAGTGCTGCCCAAGCTAAGGACAGGGCAGGAGTGGCATCCATGAACAGATGGGTAAAGACAGCCTTGACCAGGGCCTCATCTAGGCTGCCCAGAGCATGACACAGGTGGGTTCTGGCGTGTTTATAGTGACAGGAAGTGTCTTTACCCAACCCCTTGCACTCCCAACAGGGGTCCAGATCAGGCTAGGTCAGCTCTTGCTGCTATGGCATTCTTAGATTCAGCCTAGTCTGGGATGCCACAGCCACCTGTTGTCACACACCTGGTGACTATTTCCAAGAAGTCTCGAGTGAAGAAATGGTTGCAGATGTTGCCTGTGTTGTAGAGCAAGCCCCCATCAGCCCCTCGGAGCCCAGCGGTCTCAGGGCTAATCTCGCTGTACTCCACCACCTGGGGGACACCGTCCACCTGGCACACCACGCCCACTGGCTCCTCAGGGTATGCTTTTTCCACCACCTGCAGCCACCGGGTACAGACTCAGAGTGCTGGGAGCAGGATGAGAAGAGGAGCAGAGTCTGGCACAAGGCAGAGCCATGCACCAAGGAAAATGGCAGTTTGGAGCTCACCTTGGCACCACAGTCGGCTCCGTGAAGCACACAGAAGCCGATGAATGCTGGGTCAGCCAGCCGTACCAGGATGTTGTCCACACAGTACACATGTACAAACTCCACGCCCCGCCGTTTCATGTCCTCTAGGATCTGGTGGTCAGCCAGGGCACAGTACAAGCCCCCGTTGCCATCTGCAAAGGAGAAAGGAACGAGTCTGCCCATGGACTCTGGCTTCATCTCCTGCTCAGTCTAATAAGTGCAGTAGGAACAGAAGCCACCAAGAGCCTTGTGACTATATCATGTGACAGACGAGACTCCTGACTGAGCCAGGGTCAATAGCCAGCCCTAGCACATCTTACCTGGGAGTCAGACCTCCTGACTGCCCTCTGTGGTCCAGGTAGAGCAACCCTTCCCTGTGCAAGGTGTGGGACATACCTGGGGCCATGGCAACTTTGTCTTTCCGTTCCAGTATGGCCTTGCCCTCAAAGGTCACAGCAGGTAGCATGCGCTGCTCGAACAGGACCACATTAGCCGGGTCTAAGTGGAAGAAGTCATGCTCCTTGAAGAACTTGATGGTGGGTCCCAGTGTAAACTCACTGGTCATGATGTACCTGTAAATGTCCTAGCAGTGAGCTGCTTCCAGAGGAATCGGGTTCACCCTGGCAGATGCAGCAGGAACAAGCCTGCATGGGTCTCAGTAAGGGCAGACACTGGGCTCTTTCTAGGGCTGTGCTAGGACTGGTGTGGGACAGGCCTGGGTCACTTAAGGGTGGTCTTTCTGGGGGTTGACGGGGAGGACACACCAGGGCACGGTGCAATGGGTCCCCAGTCGCTGGCCAGCCAACTGTTCAACACGCCGGATCCGCTCTGCTTGCAGTTGGTACAGGGTCTTTTGGCTGGGCAGCCCTACTTGATACATGCCCTTGGGGTAGGTGACGCCCAGGCGAGTGCCCTGTCCACCGGCCAGCAGCAGGACAGCCACCTTGTTCAAAGCAATCTGTCGGAAACCTGGAGAGGAGGCGAGTTGTGAGGAAAGGCCTCTTTTTCTTTAGAGAGAGCTACACGTGAGCACGACTTCGGGGTCTACTAAGCACAGGAGGAAGGAGCTGCAAAGCAAATAACTCCACGCAGCACTTCCCGAGCCCCTCCCCGCACCCGCCCGGTAGACACTAACTCTTCCGGATGCGAAGGGCAGCGCCTGCCCAACCCCCGCCCGGTACGGTATTGCCTACCTTCCTCTTCCCACCGAAGGCGTGCCTCTTGGTCGCAGCGGATCGCGCTGCCTACGCGTTCTGGGGGCAGGGGCTGCAGGCGCGCCGCCAAGTCCGGCAGAGGACCGGGGGCAAGCGCGCAGGCGGCCGAGGCGCGCTGGCAGTGTTCACGCAGAGCGTCGGGCTCTAGAGAAGCGAGCTCCGCTAGCAGCGCGGCTCGAGGCTCCGGAGCCAGGTCGGCCCAGAAGCGAAGGAGATGCTCCTGGCCCGCGCGCTGCAGCTGTGCCCGAACATCTTGCTCCGAAGCCATGCTGCAAACGCAGCTGCTGGCTCAAGTGGTACTCGAGACCTTATGACCAACATCACGAGATCTCAGGCAGGCGGCGCAGATCCCAAAGAGGCCGGCCCAGGACGCAGCACCTCCAGCCGGGACCCCGCCCCCTTCTCCATTGGAGTTTCAGTTATGTTCTCTTTGGCCCCGCCCCTCTTCAATCTCTTAGTACAGACACCACCCTCCCCCGCCCGCCCGCTTCCCAAGATTGGCATCCCTGCCTAAGTCCAGGCTACTCACAAGACCCAGGTCCCTTCTACCCCTGCTGCCAAGATCAAGGTGTACGGTCCAGGCCAGGCCCTCCTTCCTAGTCCTCCTAGTCCCCAAGGTCTAGGCGTTTATCTCTTAAATATCTCCCATCACGCCTCCGATGTGGGCGGAGCTGTTCTAGCCTTACCCTGAGAGGAAAGGGTGTGGCACGAGTTGGGTGTTCTCTTGGGCTGAGCAGACCTAACCCAGCCGCCTGCATGTCCACAGCCGAGAAAAATCTGCTTGATCGTGAAACTTTCACCGAGAAGCTCCTCTGTCGGGCTATCTTTCTGGGGCACTGGCAGGAGGCCGGACCCAGACTTACTTTCTTTCTTTCTTTCTTTCTTTCTTTCTTTCTTTCTTTATTCATTTATTTATTTAAGCCTGCCTCCCCTTACTTTCCAGACCTGCTCTGCAGCCCCTTTCTGTTTTATTTTGCTTTTTCATGAAGCCTTTTGGTGTGTGTGTGTGTGTGTTTTGTGTTTTCGGGACAGGATTTCTCTGTACTGTAGCCCTGACTGTCCTGGAACTCACTCTATAAACCAGGCTGGCCTCGAACTCAGAGATCCTCTTGCCTCTGCCCACCCCCCACCTTCAGTGCTGGGATTAAAGGAGTGTACCACTAACGTCCGCCCGGCTTACATAAAACCTGGAAGCAGGAATGGAGGCCACACATTCTTTTGGACAGCTGAGGCTTGCTTCAGAGCCTTTGCAATGAACGGCCCTTCTCCCATCTGAACCCCTTCTTCACAGCATTGGCTTGAATTCTCTACTGCTTGATTTCTCCATGAGACAAACTCACAGAGGCAGGATACTGTTTGGTTCATTGCTCTCTCTCTGTCACCTCCCACGAATAGCAGACATGGGGGTATGTTCATCCACTGAACAAATGCGTGTTGGATCCCAAGCCAAGCTCTACCATGACTGGGTCACAGCAAAATGTTCAGGGAGTGCTGGCTGAATGAATGAATGAATGAATGAGGAAATAGTCTGCCTTAGTATGACTTCCACACAATGAAAAGACAACTCCAGGAAACATGGAAGGTGAGGGCAATAGACAGACAGGAGTCAGGTGAGCAGCAAAGGCCAGAGTCTATGTCAGCCATTATTGCCTTTGGTGCTAGGCAGGGAAGGAAGGACATGAGCTTCTGGGGGGGGATAGGTCAGGCATAACCTATGAGCTTTCTACGTCAGGATGGATTCCTAAATCCTGCCTTAAGGTGTGGGCAGGAATCAAGGTCAGAGGTTGGAAACATGGGTTTGTATAGCTGAAAGCATTTCCAAAACCAGAGAGCTATCACTGAGTCCTGGTGAAGCTGAGGTTGGCAAAGTCTTGCTGGACCCAACTCTCTGCATTACCTTGGGCCTTGGGGGAGGGGCTTCTTTGTCTTTTTTTTTTTTTTTTTTTTTTTTTTTTTTTTTGTCAAGGGCCTACTAGGACTAAGGCCAGAGTAGAGACCAGAGAAGCTTAGGGAGGCTGGGACTAGTCAACACAGCTGGCCCCTCTCTACACCAGTGAGAACTACACCAAGAGACATCAGAGTCTTGCCAACCTCACACCCCTCTGTACCTCTGCACACCTCTCTGCAAGGATCGTGGTTGGCTCAGGGAGAACATAATCACACTCGGTCTGAGTTCTGGATGATCCCTGGGGGTGGCAGCAGAATGGGAAGCCATGGGGCAGAAGAGTGTCAGGCTAGACTGGAGAAGAATGGAAGGAGGGTATACTCAGAGTTCAGGCCAGAAAAGAAGCAGGCAGCACACTCCCTTTGTCCTACCCCCAGAGCTAGGTGCTGACACTTCCAGATCTTTCTTCAGTAGTCAGTCATAGGGCAGCCTACAGACCCAGGTTTCACCTGCCTTGTCCTGGGCTCTGGACAATGAGAGGTTCTTATGTCCTTTCTTTTCTTTCTTTCTTTCTCTCTCTCTTTTTTTTTTTTGAAATTAATTTATCCTTTCACAACTTCATATATAATATACCCTGATTATATTCCCGTTTATCTTCTCTTAGTCCCTTTTCCTTCCTATCAAATCCTTTCGTCCTCCCAACAAAGCCCTCATACTTCCGTGTGTTTATGTGTGTGACTGTGTGTGTGAGAGTGTGTGAAGGCATGTTAGAGAGAGAGTGTGTGTGTATATGTGTGTGTGTACCTCTGCATTTATTCAGAATTGTTAGCATGTACACCAGTTGGAGGTTCTTTACATAAGCAAAGACAATTTGGCTTTACTGCTTAGGAATATTACTCTCCCTCCCCCAGCAACTTTTAACTGCCTGTTGCTACCTAGGGAGGGGTGGGGCTTTATGAATTCCCTCTCCCCAACGCCCACAGGCTCTTATCTTCTCTGCAAGTTGACTCAGGTTCACCAGGGGCCCTGGCCTAAATCTTGGTAGCTTTGTTGTACTGAGCAGCACTTCCCCCCCCCCCCTTGATTCTGGTAGCTAATCCTATACCTATGCATTTGTCTCGAGAACACTAACTTGGCGTTCACTGCAATATGGCATTTGTGCTATTCCCTCACCAAATAAAGCTTCCTGCGTGCTCACTAACCACTGAGTGCCTATGGTAGGTCACACCAATGCCAGGCCTTGGGGTGGCTCTGTCTCAGTCCCAAACATCATAATAATTCATGGGGAAACAACCAGTACAACCAGGCATGCAAAGTAAAAACATTTTTGGGCAGAGGAAGCAGGTGCCTGGGCAAGGTCTGAAGTGTTCATAGCAACCGACCAATAACAGAGGATGGTCCTATTTGTGTAGCATTGAGCCAGGAAGCAAGGGCACATGGATGGACACCCTAAGGATTAGGCAAGACATAAGGGGAGGAAAATGTGAAAAATCAGAGAGTCTTTGACCAGGTCTGCCCCTAAAAGGATAGATAAGCTCCAGGGAGTAATTCTCAGTTCATAGTTCTTTAGAAGCCTCCACCAAAATACCTTACCATGAATGAACCACAACTTTGAGTGAGATGGGTGTGGTAGCACACACATTTAATCCCAGCACTCAGGAGATCTGAGTTACAGATCAGTTTGGTCTACTTGCAAGTTCCAGGACAGCCAAGTAAGTCAAGGTTGCATAGTATGACCCTGTCTCAAGACAAACAAATAAAAACAATTTTGAATGAGTAACCCCTAGAAATGTGGGGTCAGGGGAGTTGGGCTGGGAGTTGCTTTCACAGCCTGAGACGATATTGCCAGAAGTCTGCCCAGATGATTTGGAGTGAGGTCCTGAGTCTGGAGGCCTGTCTGGAGGCATTCAGAGACATTGTTGCAAGGCTATCCTGGAGTGTTTAGAAAGTAGAGGCAGAGCCCGAAGTTGGTGGCACATGCCTTTAGTCCCAGCACTCCGGAGGCAGAGGCAGGCAGATCTCTGTGAGTTCAAGACCAGCCTGGTCTACAGAGCAAGTACCAGGACAGACTCCAAAGCCACAGAGAAACCCTGTCTCCAAAACCAAAAAACAAACAACAAAGATGTGGACTGTTCTCAGTGACTACCGTTTCGTCTGTTTTTGTGACATTCAGAAGTTTGGAAAGTGACCAGGTGGAGGATAGAGGACAGGCAAAGGAGTTAGTGACGAGTGGGGAGATGGCACCCTAAGGAAAGGAAGGGAAAGGAAAAAAGGAAGGAAGGAAGAAAAAGAAAGGGTCAGAGCAGAGGACCAGGGCCAAAACACCAAGGGAACTGGTCTGCTGATGGGCATCTGGGGACACAAGACAGTTTGGCTTTGTCCTATAGTTGGCAGGACAAGGCAGACTGTCCCAAAGGACCAAAGGTAGAGTTAGCAGTTGTAGAGACAAAGGCCTCAGTGAAGGAGAGCGCCCAACTGTCTGGAGCCTATAATTCCCTTGGGGCATTCATGATGCAAAAGAAGGGAGCCCCAGAGTCAATCCGAGCCTGGAGTCAGGGGATCCTCGGTGAAAAGGGAAGAAGTGGGTAGGCGGGGCTGGACCCTCCCATCCTTACTCGTGAGGCTACCTGGGTACAAGATCTGTGAAGGGTGCCATGCTCCGCCCATCAGAGAAGTGGCTGGCAGGGCGGAGCACAAATGGACAGCAGAAAAGGCTCTACCGAGGCAGGAGGGATGGTGGGCGTGGAGGTTGGGGGATCGCGGCGAGCAGAGGTAAGAACTCTTCCCGGTGCAGCCCGAGCCTCATCACGTAGCCCCACTCCCTGGCGGGGTGGGGGCGCCCACCCCTACCGAGGAAAACTCAAACTGGACTGGTGGTTGCCGAACCAATCCCGGAGCAGATGGGCCAATTTCGACCAATAGCCGCCGTGAATAGTAATGAGAGCTGACGCGGCGGCGAGGCAAGCCCCATTCAAAAACAGCAGCTATTGTGGCGGGGCGCGCGCACCGTGCAAGTCCCGCCTTCTGGTCCTGTGGGGGACCGACGCGGATGGAAGCTTGGTGCCCATGGCCGTGGCAGCGATGGCCGAGCGTGGCCGCCTATCGCACGCTGCACCCACGCCTAGCACCGAGGGGCTACCGCGAGCTTTTCTCCAGAGCTTGCGCACCCTCTTCGACATCCTGGACGACCGGCAGCGCGGCTATGTGCACTTGCGTGAGATCGAGTCCCGCTGGCAGGGTGCAGACGCACGCGAGCTGCCCTGCGGCGTGCTCGAGGGCCTGCGCCAGGTGGCCCCGGCCAGTGGCTACCTAACCTTCGAGCGCTTCGTGGCGGGCTTGCGCACCTCGCTGCTGAACGCCAACGGTGGCCCGAGGGATCAGGCACGTGTCGCTCCCCGGTCTGGGGACCAGCCTTCGCTGCAGCAGCGCCTGATGTTCATACCGGCCGACGAGCCGCGGACTGTCCTGGAGAGAAAGCCGCTGCCCCCGAGTGCGCGCCCCGCGCCTGC